TCCGAAAGAGTCGTTCGTAGCTTTAGGGTCGAGACGGAATTGGTTGGTCAAGAAGGTGTCCAATCCTGGAATCGGAGCAGAGCTTACGGTGGTGAGTAGTAGGAGGAGGAAGATAAAGGCGGATCCGCCATTGAAATAGGTGGTGTTGATACGGTGGTGCGTCATGCGAAAACGAAGCTCCTCGGGGAAAGGAAGAAGAGAAGAGAAGAGATTTGGGGATATCGTTAGGGATTTAACTGAGTAAAAAATGTATCATTTTGATACGCAGAAAGATACTACAAACTTTCTTCCAAACACACCAAATTATTATGAACCCTTTTCAACACAAAGTGGAGTAGGATGCGAAAAACAAGTTACTAAGATTTCGTTTATTACCCTTTGATAGTTCATCAAAACCTAAAGTCACCCAAAAACATAGGAATAAATGAATAATGTATGTTTTAAAAGCACATCATAATGGACTTGATATTACAAAAAGTTTACTGACCAAGCAAAATATGGCAAAACAAACAAACAAATGGGGGAGTCTTATTTTGGGTAAATTTAATACAACGCAGAGCGAGATAAGCAGTGAATATAATAAAACCGCAGATTGTACAGCAGATTTCTCTGGTAAACAAGGAGCAATGAAGAAACCCAACAACAACCAAATGGGTTCTTTCTTCTTATTACACATTTCAATGTGTTTTTTTCTTTTTCACTTCTTACCAGACTCTCAGAACATGTAGACAACACTGTCGTGGATCCTGGACTTCTGGTTCTGTGCAACACATTCGGATATCCACATCAGGTTCCTGATCTCCTGCTCCCTCAACCTCATATACGCAAAGAACACAGCGTAATGGAACTGCAAAAACTCACCATTGTTTCTTTGTTAGCATTAGACCTGAATTTTTCATCTTTCTATAGAAGACAACTAACATTCAGTTCTAGAGAAACATGAGGGTTATAAAGTTCTTTGGTTCACTTGGGGAGAGGGAAACAAACCTGCTGCTCAAAGGCTAAGCAAAGTCTTCTGACTTCTTCTTCATAAAATGCCTTGTCGAGCATCTGGCTCTCTCCATAAGACATCTTGGAGAATATTGCTTGATACGGAGGGTATTTCTCCATAACACCACGAACCTAACAGTGAATGATACTGTGGGATTCGTTTGGGACATCTATGAAGCATAGTATATTTATAATATATAGCTTGCAGATTTACCTGATCTATATCCTCGCAGATGGCAAGCTCTTCATGACCATATGGATAGCTGCAGGAGCAGAAATTGAAACCATGGTGAGAAAAGCTAGTTTAAAATTATGCAACACGTAAAAGGAATTATCGTTCGATTGTAGATGCTTCTTACAGGAGGCCAAAGTTTGAGTACAGTTTCTTCCTGTCTTCTCTTGTGAGCTCAGTGCCAATGCTGCATTTATTAAAAAAAAAACCAGTTTCAGTGACTATATAAACAAAGCAACAAATATCATTGTGTTGCTTTACAGCAGTAACTAATTACCTGTTGATGGTGATATTCACTGCTCTTCTGTCGGCTTCAAAGGCCAAAAGGTCAGACATTATCTCTGCTGTTGCACCACCAAGTTTCTATTTTGGATAAACAACAAAAGAACGAGTTAGCTACTATAAGTAGATTCTGAGATTTTGTAAAGAAGTTTAGGAGTAGACTAGCACCTGACAGAACTTGTAAAAATCCTCAAGGTATGCTTTGTAGAGGGTATTCCTCATAATCTCTATGTTCATGTCATCCAGATCCTAAACAAAAAATAAGCATATCACAATAAACACCACATTCATTATTTAGT